ACTGGCTGATTGGAATGAGCACGAATATGGGCTATACAGAAAGATTGGGCTCATTGTCCGATAGACGTCTCAAGGGAGGGGACTCGCTGTGAGACGACGTTAGTAGTGGGGGTGTAAGTCTTGCAGCTTCTAAAAGAGAAGCAGTTTGAGCACAGCTTGCAGTTAAAATATCCAGTGACCGAGAGACATCTGATAAGAGCTGATTGATCACAGGGAGTTCAGTTAAAATATCCAGTGACTGAGAGACATCTGATAAGAGCTGATTGATCACGGGGAGTTCAGACTGTTGCGTGGACAACTGGGCGTGGGTACAATCTTTTTTATGGCTGATGTAGCATTTGTATATAAGACATATGCTCCTAGTCCTTTGAAGAACGATCTGTAAAACACTAATAAGCATTGTTTATGGGGTTTTTAGATGTGTAATTCCAGGTAATGTGCATGGGGAAACTTCAAAAGTAATCTTTGGGGGCTGGAGAGATGGCTCAGCGGTTAAGAGCATTGCCTGCTCTTCCAAAGGTCCTGAGTTCAATTCCCAGCAACCACATGGTGGCTCACAACCATCTGTAATGAGGTCTGGTGCCCTCTTCTGGCCTGCAGGCATACACACAGACAGAACACTGTATACATAATAAGTAAATAAATAAATATTTTTAAAAAAAGTAATCTTTGGGATAATGATTATCTATAGGTCCCGAGTAACATGCCCATGCCACCTGCCAATTATCATCAGTGTGGAACAAATAATAAACCTGCATCTTATTTAACGGCACAATAATTTCGATAGGCTCTTTACCAGCAAGTTAGTTAATATGTGTCCTTTCCATCATTATCAGTTTCTTATAAATAAGGAGTTACGGACCGATGTGGAGAATTAAGGCATCCATACATTTCTGTACTGTTGATGTGTAATCCCAGTGGGTGATGGGGAGGAAGGAAGGCCGAGTCACTGATAAGGAAGTAAGGGGTTAGTTCTACATGCCACTGTTTTAGCAGCAGCAGTGTTTAATCAACTAATAACTCGCTCCATTACAGGTGTTAGTTGCATTAGCTGACTGCTTTTACAGGGCTCCCAGGTGCTTGCTTCCTGTGCAGGAGTCTGATGTAACAAATGACTGATTACGGTTACCTTGTTACCTTATTCTTCCACGGATCTGGTGCATGGTCCATCCACTAGTACCATTGCATTTAACCTGATGTTAAATGTCAATTCGTGTTAATCTTGATGTAAAAGTTGTCCTCGTGTAACTAACTTTGTCTAAATGTCCCCCATAAACTTGCACCATTGTTACTTCCTGCCACGTTCTGGATCTTTGCTAACTATTTAAGTTTTAACACAGCTGCTTGGATGGACCCTCTTCTGAGGCATACTAACTGCTGTACCCCTCTTTGCCCTTCTGTCAGCCTAGAAGCAGTTATTGAGATGCCCCCAAACCCTAAAAGCAGTTTGGGTGACCTCTCTAAGGGGACTAAGGGGCCACGGGCCATCCAACTCATCTTTCTTCTTGTCACACTGAACATTGCTTTGGGGACTCAGAGGTAAAGCAGCTGAACTGAAGCCTCCTTTGCATCCATCAGTTAATCCCTGTCTCCGATGGTTAGCATCCATCAGGACCAGCTCAGCTCTTTGACTGCTGCCGTACTCCACAATTATAAAGGACCTGATCTGACCGCTGGGATGGATTTGTGTTCTCTGTGAATAGGATGCTTCCAGGCTAACACATCCTAAGTGGTTGGAGATGGAGCTTAGAGACAGGGACCAGAAAAAAAATTCTACAACAAGCCTCCTGTGTATGGCTTCCGGTTCGCTCTGTTCTGGCTCTCCCTTGGATAACTGCTTTCCTCTTTATTATCCTCACACTTATGTTTTTACTCTGCCTTTATAATGTTTTGCTTACTGAACTTCACCCTCTACCCAAACAGAACGTCCCATCTAAGCTCTCTCAGTACCCTCACCCTGTAACAGAACAGTTTCATTCATTCCTGATTCATTTGCTAAGAGACCCTGTAGACGCTGTGGAGAAACTCTGGCTAAAAGTGAATCTTTATCCCTTCCCTCCCATGTCAGATACAAGTCTTTACATCAGTCTTCTATCTTTTCCTCTTCTCCTCCTTGGATGCTCTGTAGCCCCCTGCTAGTTCTGCTAGCTCATTCAGGTGCAACAGCTCTGGCAATAGGACCAGTCACTGTGACCCCGAGTCAACTGTCTGTCCACTTTCTCTCACTGGCCCCTCTGCTTTTCCTTCCTCAACCTTCCAGAAAACCCCTCAGTTTACTCTGTAAACAAAACAATCTGTTTACAACCTTCTAATAATAATTAGTAATACTTCTTCAAGTCTCTTCAGTAATGCAGGATGACAATTTCATGGTCCCTTGCAGCTGATCAAATTAAGACTCCCCTTGCCGTGCGACCAGAAGACCCCCTTTTCAATGAGCCTCGAACCACCCACTCCAACAAAAACCTTCCTCAGCAGAAAACAGTTATGACTCCCCTGCCCTTAATTTTTAAATATCCTCTCAGAGTTAGCAATGATAGTTTCCTGCTCAAAGACTACACTTCCCAGCTTCCCTTGTGGACTACGGAAGTCATTTCCGCCCCTGTAAGGGGCCGCATCCCATCTTCTTCTGGTCATTTTGGTCATCTGCACACGTGAGTGATAAAGAGCTTCCTCGCGGTGAATAAACATGGTCTTACCTAAGGTCAGACTGAGCCTCTCTCTCTCTCCTCCGCCTGCCTCTCTACAGCTGCCTTACACAATCTAACACCATCTAACAGCTTGCATGCGCTTTGAGCATTGAGTTCTGAGCCTGTTTTCAAAGGTTCATGGCTTTAATTCTTGTATACGAGGAGATGCAGTAGGGAAAGTGCTGGCGTGATGGCTCCATGATACGGTTAAGCTTTTTATTGTAGACAACGAGAGTGAGAACAGCCAGAGACATCTGGAGGAGTCCAGAGCACAGAGAAAAAGATGTAGAAAGACCATGGCCAGCAGACTGGATGTGGTCAGGGCCAGGGAAGCGGGAGAGGAGGAGAGAAGAACAGGGAGGGAGGGAGAGAGAGAGAGAGAGAGAGAACATAGTGGGGGTATAGGAATAAGAGCTAGTCAGTGATAACCAGAAAGAGAATAGTCAGAATCTGACGATGTAAAGAGAGTGGGTAGCTGGGAAGCGAGGCCAGGAGAGTGGTGTGGGGCCTTTGAAATGTATAACAAGCACTTATGAATAGGGATTGAGAAAGCCCGGAGGCTGGCATGGCTTTGATATGCAGCCACGTATGGCTCAATGGAGCCATATGTCTCTTCTGCCAGAGGTAAGAGAAAAGACAACTTTGGCAGACGGGAACTGGTTTCCAAAGTTCCTGAGGAATGCTGTCTTTTATCTAGTCTCCAGAAAGCCCCCTCTAGTCCAGCTTGAGCTCATTTCTGTCTATTTGGACAGCTGTGAGAACTCATGGTCCAGCCTTTTGTTGATGATAAGGAGTGATGTAGTGTCTCTCTTCTGAAGCTGCTTCTTAGCTGGGGAGGGTTGCCGTGGCAGTCCAGGAAGGCCGGAATTTGAGTCAAAGGCCAGGATGGGGTGGGGGTGGGGGTGGTGGCAGGATCTGGTTTAGCTGAGGGGGAGCCTGAAGAGAGAGACACAGGGAGCAATCACATTGGTTTAACAATGAATGGCAAGGGATCCCAGAGTAGGTGACCTATCACTGACGACCCTCTGATGGTTACGTGAATTGTTTTAAGTTTACAAAAAGAGATAAGAGCTTTAGGTGTTAGCAGGACCACTCTCTGTAATCTACGCTGAAGTACTCACTGTTGGGAAAGCAGTTAACATAGTGGTGGGAGTAGACGCACATCTCTGGACCACAGCAAAGCAAACTTGAAAAGTGACCGGCATAATAAGAGCATGAACATTTATTTATCTGTAATAAGACAGATATTTCTTGGATATTTCTTGGCAGGGAATGAGAAGCACTTTTAAGTCTATATTTAGGAAACAACCACAGGAAATTAAAAATTTTCAGCCTGTGACTATGATGATTTTTTTTAAAAAAAGGTTTGGTAGCCAGTGTTTTATCAAGGCTGGGTTAACGTATCAGGACTCCACCGAGTGATCTGTGACGTCTCAGCACCGTGTGTCGTCTTTAAGATTCATCTCACATGCCTTCAATCCCTTCCTCAGACCTTTACAACGTGCATAAGCTTTAAACGTTTTCTTCTCTTCTTCCTTCCTATTTTTCTTTCTTCATTCCTTTCTTTTTTTTTTTTTTTTTTTTGAGACAGGATTTCTCTGTGTAGCCCTGTCTCCCTCTGTAGACCTAATACCTTTTCTTTTTATCTGGAAAGATCTAATCATTTACCATGAGACACAGGTACTTGCTTACTGAGAAAAGTCACCCAAAAACCAGTTCTTCTCAAATAAGGGACGGTAACAATCAAATTTTCAGTAAGAGCAACAGAATAGCTTGAGTTTGTTTTTTTTTTTTCCACTGAAGTCTGTTTTGTGAGTTTATCTTTCTCAGCATGAAGCCTGTCAGTGGGGGTAAACCTGTGTGTGAATTCCCCTTCCCAGCCAGAGACCCGAACTCTAGAAAAGGCAAGGCCTGATTTTAAGTAGGAAATGGTCTTGAGGGAGGAGCTGGCTCGGGTCAGCTTGCTGCTCCCCAACCGATAGAGCTAGGGTTTGGGCATCCATCAAAACACCAAGATCTGAGGAGGATAAATTTCAACAGGAAGTGTAAACCAAATGGCCTCTACATCAATTTAGGGATGAGAGAGAGAGTTACCTGCCACCAGGACAGTATGGTAGCGTCACTGGCTTTGCTGGTTGCCAGTGGTTGGCAGCCACACAGGGCAGTGTTAAGTCTTCAGTTGCCACCCAGGGAAATGTCACAGCAGCCTTCAGCCACCAGACCCAGAAGGTCAAAGAGACTTTCCTGTGGAGGAGGGACTTAGAAAAATTATCTTGGCGAGGCAGAGAGGGCAGTCAACCCAACAGTTGCCATAGTTTCCGCAGGGCCTTGGCGGCAGGGGAGGCACGGGGACAAGTCTTCTTCGCTACACTCACAGCAAGCTCTAGGTGTAGGTGTTGCTGCTCTTCTCCGCTTTTTTTTTTTTTTTTTTTTTTACCAGAACTGGTACTTTTGTCTGTCAGGGTGAGCGATCAGGAATTAACTTCCCGGTAGGCAGACAGATTGGGAGAAGAGTCACCACCAGGTAGGAAAGGTGGCCAGTTTCTTTCTCAGCCTCCTAGCTTGAGCCTCAAGCCTCAAGCCTCAAGCTACGAATCCCCGCTGAGGAACTGGCCCAAGTTCAAGGCCTGAGGAGGACAGGTCACACATCTTTTCAGACCAATCAGCCATCCTATCTGTCTTCAAACTGATCAGCCCTGAAGTTGGGGGAGGAAGGCTCTTCTGAGCCTTTAAAACCCCAGGCCTTCAGAGGAGACCGGGTTTCCGGCTGCTGGAGTACTCTCTCTGCTTAGACTGGGTTTTCCGCGGCCGGGGTACTCTCTCTGCTTAGCAGAGGGTCTTTTTCTCGGCGTGGCTGCTGCGTGCCTGTTTCTTCACCCTCACAGACGCCTTCCTTCAACTGCCGTGTCTGTCAAAAAATCTGTTGCATTTCAGATTTTTTTCTGCCTTTTATTTCTTTAACTGGCAGGAAAACTGAACCCAATCAAGACCTCCTAAGCCGTATTATTTCTAGACTGTGTCATTTTGGGGGCTGGCCTCCGGATTTCTTCTGAAGACGGTATAATTTTGAAACCTCATCCCTGGATCTGTTTTGAGGACCATCGACTCACCAAGGTAAGGAATCCAGGAGGGGGGTGCGTGCTGGTCAGTCTGGCTGGCCCACGCACAAAGTGTCCAGGTGCCTTTCGCTGTCTCCGTGTCGCGGTCTCTAACGCCCCTAGGCAACGCTCGCTGGTTTCAGAGACCACGGAAACAGGAACCGGTCCTCTGCATTGGCATTCCTGGCCTCTAGCAAGCACGTTCTCAGAACAGCCGATTTACCGGCCCAGCCTCACTGGTTCCTAGCCCGTGTTCTCAGCGCAACCGCAGAGAGAGAAGATAGGCCAGACGCAGTGGTACACCTAATTCTAGCCCCCGAGAAACAGATTGGAAGATCGCTGCCAGGTGATAACAGCCTGATATATAGTGAGCCCAGCCAACTGTTGTGAAGTGATGCTGTGGTTCAGATAGCTGCCCCGCGCCATTGGTTTCTAAGTTTTCGTTTATTTATAAAATATGCCGACTATTTCAGATAACTTATGAGTTCTTTCATCTCTAGCAGCACGTACTGAATAACGTTACCTTCATTGAAGTTTTTAATCTTCTTAACGATCTTCGTTTGTCCATGCTATTTTGTCATAACATTAGAATATTCTTTTTCTGCCTGCTATTGTTATTCCTTTCCCATGAGATTATTTCTAGTTTTCCTTATTTTGGGGCAGGAGTTGAGACAGGGTTTCTCTGTGTAGCCCTAAATGTCCTGGAACTCAACTCTGTAGACTAGGCTGGCCACAAACTCAGAGATCTGCCTGCCTCTGCCTCTTGAGTGCCAGGATTAAAGGTGTGCACCACCACAGACCAGGTCATTTTTGCTTTTTATATTATTATGAATAAGAAGTTAGAGTCATACAGTCTAAAGATTTTAGCATCTTTATTTCAAGAGAATTTTTTGTTTTATGAAACCATTTGTGTCAACTACTTTAAATGTCAGTGAAATGAATCTATTACATCATCAGGAAGTTTTATATTGAGCAATTTCTGGGAAAATTACAGCTCCCTGTAACTAGAGTCAAATCCAAAAGGAGTTGCGCTATTGGATTGGCCAATCTTTCAGTAAATTGATTACTCAGAGCCAGGGACTACTTTGGGAGGGTTGTGTGTGTGTGTATTTGTGAGTTTTCATTTCTGTTTGTGTTAAATCACTCCATGTTCTAATAGTCACTCCTCAGGTCCAAAATGGTTTGTTTCATTACTCCCCGTATTTAAGTTTTGGTCTGGGGAATCTTTAAAAATATGATCGCCTTACGGGGTTAGTTTCTCCTCCCACCTTTGCATAAGTGCAGAGATAAAATTAGATTGCAGTGTCTGTGCAACAAGTGCCTTTATCTTCTGTGCCACATCCCTGGCTCGAACACCACAAAAGAAAATAGGATGCTCTCTGGGCTTTGTGAACTATATGGTATTAATTGTCTCCTCACCTTAAATATCTTCCGACTAAAATAGCTTGTTCACGACACACAAGCAGCAGTTGCCAGGTTGTATTGTGTTCCCCAAAGGAAAACAACCGCACCAGACACAAGCTTAAGTCCATGAGGCTAGCGATTAGCCCTTACTTAGCGCCTCCAACACAGAGGTGGGGTATTTCAAGAGTGGCCACATCAGTGTGAATTCAGGCTCCTTCCCGAGCATCCCCACCATTTACAGCGAACCAGTATAGGTAGAGCCATCTTCATATCTTAGGACAGCTGTGGAGTCACACGGGCGACATCTGTGGAACCAGGCAAAGGTGACTTCGGCTGGACCTTCTCGGACAGGGCACTTAGAGGAAGGGTAATTTTAAAAAGCACCCAAATCTTCAACCCAACAAGATAAAACACACACTCATAGATCCCACCCCTTCCCAACCAGGGGTTCTCAGCCTGTGGGTCGAGACCCCTTGGGGGGGTCACAGATCAGATTTTTACATGACGATTTATAACAGGAACAAAGTTACAGTTATGAAGTCGCAATGAAATGGTTTTCTGGTTGGGGGTCATCAAAGCAGGAGGAGCATAAAGGGTGACAGCGTCAGGCAGGTTGAGGAGCCCCGCCCTAGCAGAGAGTATCGTGGGCTGTCATCTAAATCCATCACAGATCACCATGATGAGCACAGAGTAAGGATTTGTTCTTTCAGTAGACATAAGCTAGTCTCTGTCGGGTGATCTTCATAGGATGTAGCATTTAGTGAGTAAAAGGGGTCGCTGTATTTAGTAATGGTTACAAGCTTGAAAATCAACATGGCTTAATTACGTGAGTGTATATTTAGATGTTTTTGTAACATTTAGTTCTTTGTATAATTTTGGTATTTTTGAAGAGTTGTAGGTATTTCTGAACAACAAACCTTCATGTGTAGGATAACGTATGACTTATTGATTACGTCGTAAACCATCTATGTGTTCTCTCCTATCCAACACTTCCCGAAGGCCTGCCTCTTTTGTCTTGAGTCGCTATTCAGTTGATAAAATTCAGCTGTGAGTCTAATTCAAGTGGCTAATGGGAAGGATGACTGAAATTTAAAGACGAACATTACCACGAATTGATTGGTTGGGTTCACAACAGCCCAGAAACCATTTAAAGTGGAGTTGTTAAAGCCTCATCTTAAGAAGAGAAAACATCAGACCTTCACAGTTTTAAAAGTTCAGGACTACTTACTTGCCAGTTTGAAAAGTCAACTCTCATCTCCCCCACCCTTCCTCTTTCTTTTCTAGAGATAAAATGGTAGCACAAATTTTTGTAGTTTCATACAATTATATAATGTTTTTTCCTCTTCTCTTCTTTTCTTTTCTTTCTGTCTCTCTCTTTTATCAAATCAATCCCCCCTCTCTTCTACAAACCTTCCCATAAATCATTGAGTCTAGTTACGGTTACCAGTATGCACAAGGATGTTCCTCTACTAGAGGTTGGGCATCCTACTGTGGGTCTATCACAGTCTGACTCAAGGTTTTTTTTTTTTTTTAAGTTTTTTTTTTTTTTAAATGTAAAAAGATACTGGTAAAGATCAGACCAAAGAGAGTTCTCTAGGTAAGGCCCCAACTAAGGATTATAAAGGCAAAAGCCATAAAGTTATAATTTTGGGGGGCTAAATTAACTCATATCTTGGCTGGTGCAGGCAAGCCCAACAGGTACCTCAGTCATTTGAGTAAACAAAGGTTTCAAACAAAACCAGAATGTAGCAGTTAGCCTGTCTCCTCATGTGACCCATCACCTTGTAGGAACAGCTGAGGCAGTGAGATATTTTGCAATAATCATCAATTTTTTAAGAATAGCCCAACTACAACAGGAAGTGATCCATCTTGGGCCAGTTGATGGTACATTCAAGGTAAAAGCAACTTCCTTATGGCTTATACAAGCTAAAAACGATTGTGTGTTTACAAGCTGAGCACAGGAAATTTATCCTCTAAACATAAAGGTCACCATTATGCTACCATGAGCCATACTCAACAAAAGAGATTTTCCCATCTCCAGCAACTGTCAATTATCAAGACCTTTCAAGTGGGGCCTCCTGAGTCCTGTTCTTACCCAGGCCAGAATGTCCACGTGTTTGATCTTGTACAGGTCTTGTGCGTGCAGTCACAGTGACTGGCAGTTTTGAGAGCCAAGTCCAGAAGACAGTATTTCCCAGCACTCTTCCTCTGGTTTTACTATCTTTAGTTCTGTCTGAACGTGGGGGAACGTTACGATATAGACATCTCATTTAAAAATGAATACTCCATAGTCAATTATTTTCTGTGCTTTACCAGTTGGGCTCTTTTTTTTTTTTTTTTTTTTTTTTTTTTTTTTTTTTTAATTTTTCGAGACAGGGTTTCTCCGTAGCTTTTGGTTCCTGTCCTGGAACTAGCTCTTGTAGACCAGGCTGGCCTCGAACTCACAGAGATCCGCCTGCCTCTGCCTCCCGAGTGCTGGGATTAAAGGCGTGCGCCACCACCGCCCGGCAGTTGGGCTCTTTTAATAGCAGCACAAAGAAGCTGCTCTGTTGGGTTTGGGGGTGAAAGCTGTACGAATAATCTATGTTTGTAAGAATAAGTATTAAAACGTGGTTTGATACTTAGCAAAACAATAGTAGTGGGTTCTCCCCAGAGCCTATGACCTCCTCAGCCATGTGTTCTGGGAAAGAATTATAGTACCAGGCCTGAATTTCTTCTTGTGGAATGAGCCTTAAAAAAAATCCATTTAGAAAGCTGTTGGTCACCCCCGTAACTCGTGCCTCTGTTGTACAAATAGGCACACATTGCCCAGCTGGTCACTGTTGCGTCTCACAAAGCAGCTGGGTAAGGCTGCTGGTGACTTTTCTCCCTCAGCAGCCTGCAGAAGGACAGAAGAGCTAGTTCAGCAGGTAGAGCACTTGCTACATAAGTAAAATGTTTGAATCTCCTATACCCTTCTAAAAGCTGGGTGGTCATGGAGCTCTGCCTGTAATAAAATACTGTAGGAGGCAGATCAGGGAATCAGCAAGTTGGTGAGACAAACTAGTTCAACAGTGAGCTCTGGGTGCAGTGAGGACCCTTCCTGGACCTCAAAGGTGGAGAGTGGTTGAGGAAACATCCACCATTAACCTCAGGCTTCTCCACACATGGTCTTATAACCCCCCACGTGGGCACTCACACATATACACACATGCATGAAAAACATACAGATATACACGTGGAGCTATTTGTCTTCTGTGTTCAAACTTCTCTCAGAAGGCAACGTTTGAGGAGAAATTTGGCCATGAAGCTCTATCTCTACCGTGCTCATGAGATTAAGTCGGAACTGGATTCCAGGAATGCTGAGGTCATAAGACCCAGGCAGGGGAAATTGATCAAAAGTTCTTTTTTATTTTAGCTGGAAATATCTCTTTAGGAAATATATAGGTATCTACTAAAAAGAAAGAGAAGGGACAGGGAGATGAAATGGGATGATAATGTAGGCAAACTAGAGAGGGATGATACCATTTACACCTGTGATTTCTACATCTTCGTAGTCATGTAATAAACTTTGGTTTCATAGTGCAGGAATAATCAGAACTTGGAAAAAGAACTGGTTTGAGAAAAATAGAC